TCTTTTCATACTGTAATCTTGATTTCTGCAACCTTCCTACCACACATTGACAGGACAGGTGTGACAAGCATCAGCAGCAATTAAAACTTCAGTGGCACTCTAAAATGTGTGTAATATGAAAAAAATTAAAAATTAAAAATTATTTCAAAGTCGCAAATTTCCTTTCCATGCAATAGAGATCAGTCATATGTAGGAACCAGGAAAAAGCAACCCCACCCCTCAGCAATTCCCTTCCGCGCTCAATCGAGTCTTACATGTAGTCCCACCACACTCCATATTGTGTCAAGTCGGCTCCCCAAAACAGGATTATGATTTTATCCAGTATGTCAATGGACTTGACGCAGCACCTGTTCTGTATATCCTCCAGAATTCAGAGCTCGTTTCCATCTCTAAGCCAACTCATCTCAATGCCGGGAAACTATACTTCTTGACACGTGAAAGTCGTCGGGATAGAAACTAATGAAATTGGTTTACATGAGCACTAATACTCAATACTCACATTCACATCAATAAAGGTAAGATAAGAAGACCACAAAATTACAAACACAGGAAAGAAAATTTAAATTATAACCAATGTAACAACAGCACTTTTGGGAAGATGTATACATTAGGATGCATTATAATTGTTTCAATAGAACAGCAATTCCCTTAAAAATACACAGGTCTACAGCTTATTTATACAATGAAATGAAATCTTTGCAGTGGTGTATTGATGAGCTATGGGAGGGCATTACAAGACATTGTCTTACTATTAACGGAGCCAGAGAAGACAGGTGAATACATGTACAAGGGGTATGAATAATTTAGTTCTTAACTGTACATGTAGTCTCAACTCTCAAGCAAATTGTTAAAGGTAAAGACCAGTTATGGTCATGCGATTGCATTGTGAAAGAAACGTTGTGGAATTGATCAGAAAAGGTTGATCATCTAGCATCTAGCATCTGCAAGGTTCTAGAATCATCAAAATGATAAGAAATTTGGCCCATTCTTCGTAAAGTTACTAGCACTATACACAGAAAGATGTATATGGGACTACCCTATATCTCTCACAGACCATGAGAGAAACAAATTTACCAAATATATGAATTAGTAGGCGGTTTCCCGGCAAATTTGTTATCATCATGTACTAGTCAAAACATATTCTTTCACATGATTGGTAATGAGAGCTTCCATTTCATTTTTTTGAAATTGGGGCGTTTCCAATACTGGTCTTTACCTTTAATCAACAATAATATTATTTGTAATTCATTAAAAATACATCTACACTGCTTGTCCATCGCTCCACTGAGAAGCTTTTCCACACTGCAGAATTTACAGGGGGGTAGAGGAGGGATCCTATATATTTCAAGTTTGAAACAACAAAGTAATTTTCTTCACTATATATATGTCTATCAACATTTATTTATGTTTCATAGTAATTTTACTCCTATACAAGCTTTCAACAAAATGTTGAATTCTGAGTCAAGTTGGATACATAGCCTTGCTTTTACCTTTGACCATTTCCTAATGCTTTTACAGTGGCTCCTTGAATCTTTGGAAGTAGAGTTAAACTGTTTTGAACTTTATCACTAATGACTGATAACAAAACTTCCTGATGTTGTTAAATGGAAAGAAAAAAAGCAATCCGACGGCCGGCCGCATTGGTCATTCTTCTTCTTTTACAGATTCCCCATTGAGGGCACATTCACACATAAGAAGGTTAGCCGGCTGGCCGCTACAGTAAACATTCAACTATTTTATCAATCTAAATGAATGACAAGAAGAGGGTGAAAAAAGAGAGATGAGAAAACCAAAGGGCCCTAAATGTATGTACATGTATCTGTGCATGTGTGCTTTATTCCAATTCATAATATACAGAAACATGGGATACTATACAACGCTCATGTCATTAAATTATGTTGCAACAGGTTTTTTTTTTTAGTCGTTTCAACATTTCATATGTGAACAAAACTTTTACATGCTCTTGGTATTGACCTTTGCTCATACTGACTTCTATAGGCCCCTACACAGAAGAAAGAGCCTACCGGTATACTACTACCCCTCACCGGTCATCATATCTGTTTACCACCATGTCAACTAACCATTGTTATAGAACCCTGATTAACTTTGATCATTTTTGCCTCATTGGAAAAAATCTAATGCATAGGGTTTGTTTTGTTTTTCCACTATTTGCTTTTACATCATCAACTCAAAACTTTTGCATAAAATGTTTCCAGTTTGATAAACTTTGATTATTAATATTATTTTTATTGTTGTTATATTACTGTGACCAGTGGCGTAATGAGCAAAAACTTTTGGGGGTCAGAACAAAATCTGTATCACCACCAAGCACCATAATGCAGGGGCAGCGGAGCATCTTCCAAAATAGGGGGGGGGGCAAAAAAAAAGGGGGCACCTACAAAAGGAAACATAAAAAAACATACATTGGTATATACCCTACATCGTCATGGTTCCGATTACACTACCAGGGATGATATCGATAATTTTTTTTTTTTTTTTTACGTGGAACAAGATACATGTTTTACTTAATTAAGCAACATACTCTGCAGTTGGGTGTAATGGTCTGAATTTTTGAGCAAGCGAGGCGAGCGAGCAAAAAATGTTAAGATTTGTGAGGTCCAAGTGCAAAAAAATACATCTTATAAAGAAGGAAGGAAAAAAAACCTGATGAGTATTAAGCACAATCTAATGAAGAAAGAGTGAAAAGTTCTTTGATAAGTAACATACTTATAACATCTATAAATGGGAGAGAGCGTGGCGAGCGAGCTCTAGGGAAAATTAACGAAATAGGGGCTCTAAATCACCTTGACTTAGGGGTGCATGTTATGGAGAAAGGAAAAGTAGGCAGTTTTCAAAAGGGGAAAGGACAGTTATTAGAAGGGAAAAAAAGGTGCTTGTGTCAAAGTAAAAAGGGCAATTATCAGAGGTGAAAATGGCACTTCTTGCCCCTGAAAAGGGACACTCAACAGGCACTTGTGATAATGGAAATGGGGGATCTGTTGAAGGAAGATTTCAGATGTTAATAGGGGCATTTTTATAAGGAGGAGGGGCCCATATAAAAAGAAAAAGGGCACTTATCCTAAGGAAATATGGTACTAAATATTAGAAAGGAAAAGGGGCACATGTCAAAATAAAAGAGGCACTTATCAGAGGTGAAAAGGGGCATTTAAGAGAAAGAGAAGGGGGTTCTTATCAACAAGGAAAAAGTATACTAATCAAAAAGGAAAGGGGCATGAGTCAAAATAAAAAGGGCAACAATATCAGAGATGAAAAGTGGAATTTCTCGCACCTGAAAAGACGTACTCACCAGAAATAAAAAGAGAGGAAAAGGACAGTTATTAGAAGAGAAAAAGGGGCACTTGATCTATGTAAAAATGGGCTTTTGGGAAGTACTTGAAAAAGTGAGGGCACAGTGCCCCCCATCGGGAGTGCCGCCTCTGGCATAATGGGCAAAAGTGAGAGAAAAACCTCGCAAAATCATGCGATTGCAGCAACGTTTGTACATCACTGACACTGGTATTGAATTAGAATCACGTTTGAATTTTACTTGGGGGATGATATCGATAATTTTTTTTTTTTTTTTTACGTGGAACAAGATACATGTTTTACTTAATTAAGCAACATACTCTGCAGTTGGGTGTAATGGTCTGAATTTTTGAGCAAGCGAGGCGAGCGAGCAAAAAATGTTAAGATTTGTGAGGTCCAAGTGCAAAAAAAATACATCTTATAAAGAAGGAAGGAAAAAAAACCTGATGAGTATTAAGCACAATCTAATGAAGAAAGAGTGAAAAGTTCTTTGATAAGTAACATACTTATAACATCTATAAATGGGAGAGAGCGTGGCGAGCGAGCTCTAGGGAAAATTAACGAAATAGGGGCTCTAAATCACCTTGACTTAGGGGTGCATGTTATGGAGAAAGGAAAAGTAGGCAGTTTTCAAAAGGGGAAAGGACAGTTATTAGAAGGGAAAAAAAGGTGCTTGTGTCAAAGTAAAAAGGGCAATTATCAGAGGTGAAAATGGCACTTCTTGCCCCTGAAAAGGGACACTCAACAGGCACTTGTGATAATGGAAATGGGGGATCTGTTGAAGGAAGATTTCAGATGTTAATAGGGGCATTTTTATAAGGAGGAGGGGCCCATATAAAAAGAAAAAGGGCACTTATCCTAAGGAAATATGGTACTAAATATTAGAAAGGAAAAGGGGCACATGTCAAAATAAAAGAGGCACTTATCAGAGGTGAAAAGGGGCATTTAAGAGAAAGAGAAGGGGGTTCTTATCAACAAGGAAAAAGTATACTAATCAAAAAGGAAAGGGGCATGAGTCAAAATAAAAAGGGCAACAATATCAGAGATGAAAAGTGGAATTTCTCGCACCTGAAAAGACGTACTCACCAGAAATAAAAAGAGAGGAAAAGGACAGTTATTAGAAGAGAAAAAGGGGCACTTGATCTATGTAAAAATGGGCTTTTGGGAAGTACTTGAAAAAGTGAGGGCACAGTGCCCCCCATCGGGAGTGCCGCCTCTGGCATAATGGGCAAAAGTGAGAGAAAAACCTCGCAAAATCATGCGATTGCAGCAACGTTTGTACATCACTGACACTGGTATTGAATTAGAATCACGTTTGAATTTTACTTGGGGGGGTCAACTGCCCCCCCCCCCCCCCATCAGTACGCCAGAGACTGTGACTGAAACTTGACAGTAGATATCTCTAAATTAGACCTGGGTGACTGGATCAGGCTGGACACAAGTCAATTACTAGTTGCTCAGTGAATCAACGTTACGTCATTCATTGCAATTATTTTTGTATTATTAATCATGAACCATTTTTAGACCTGTCATTAAAAACACCAATATTTAATACATTTTATATGTTCATATATACATTACAAGCTGCAGCCATGAAAATGAAATGCTGTCCACGGCTAGATAGTAGATGTAAAGCATTATCGACAATTGTAATAGTAGGCTATTGACTTTTGTATTGCTGTGCATAAACTTACCACACGACAGAGGCTACGTGTTGCGGCGGTACACAAGTCGATGGGCCTATGCACTCGCCTGTTGACGTGCGCTGTTTCAGCAAAATAAAGAGCTCTTCTTGGCGTATGTGTTTGAGCCTATCCTCACCTCAGTTTACACTCAAAAATGTTCTGTGTTATCTGGAAATTCTTGTCTTTTTCTTAACAGAATCTCCGATCAGGCTATGTTAAACTTTAGATATAACAGGATGAAGAAACACTGGCTGTGAAGCTGACTTCTCTCGACACTCCCCCAGGCGCGCGCTGGCCAAATCAATGCAACCATATTTAACTGGAGCTGGCGCGCTACAAGTAAGTAGCTAGCTAGCGCGATCAGCTGTACATGGAGCCTGTTTTGCATGGGTTGCATGAATAAGCTCCAGAGAAGTTACTTCCGGATTATACTAATTTGTTGTTTAATCAAGCAAACGAATACTCAAAAGCAATAGAGCATCCAATAACTAGTTCAGAGCCCTTCCAAGCCCCCCACCCTAGAATTTTTTTTGATTATTAATTCATGCACATGTAGTAAATGAATGCGAGAACCAACCCCTATAACTCCTAGGCCCCCATCTCGAAAAAATATAAATGTAGAATCTCAGAATCTCAGAATTGCTGTCTAGACATCGCTTAGAAGCACTAACGTCTAGAGGTGGTGTCATGTGCATTTAAATGATGCACGGTTCTTTTGGAGGCATAGTTTAGAGCAGGCGCGGATCCAGGATTTCATAGGGGGGCCCAAATTTGAAATTATGCGAGCAAAATATTGGTACGTAATAGTGACACCGGAAGTGGCGAAATGAGCAAAAACTTTTTGGGGGGGATCAAGGGGTGGAGCCCCCGGAAGTTCAAGGGGTATAGGCATTTTACTAACGGTCAGATGAGCATATGTTAATACCTTATTTGTGACACTGGCACTCACGAATTGGCGTGGGGTTCCAGGTAGCTAGCGGAGCCCCCGGAAGCTCAGGGGTTTGGGGCAATAAATCACGGTCAGATGAGCATACTTTGATACCTTATTTGTGACACAGGCAGGACACAAAATAGGCGTGGGGTCCAGGGGGTGGAGCCCCCCGAAGCTCAGGGGTTTTGGGCAATGAATTACGGTCAGATGAGCATATTTTTATACCTTATTTGTGACACGTACTGGCAGGCTACAAATTGGGGGGTCCAGGGGGCGGAGCCCCCGGAAGCTTAGGGGTTTGGGGCAATAAATTAAGGTCAGATTAGCATATTTTGATACCTTATTTGTGACGCTGGCAGGACACTAATTGGCGTGAGGTCCAGGGGGCGGAGACCCCAGAAGCTCAGGGGTTTTAAGCATTGAATTACCGTCAGATGAGCATCCAGGTGCTCGCCTCAGGGCCCTAGGTGAAATGTAGGGGGCAGAGCCCCCGGACGCTCAGGGGTTTTATGCATTTATTCATGGTCAGATGAGCACATTTTGACACCTCATTATTTTGTGAAAAAGGCTGGTTACTATTCTTTCTTTCTTTCTCTAGGAATTTGCCATTTTCCAACAAACGCATAAAAAAGTATAATTTACTAAAGATTGAGGAAAAATTTCGGAAAATTATGTCATTTCAGCAACATTTGTAAATCACAGGTATCGAATTAGAAATAAACCACGTTTGAATTATATGGGCATCTGTCTCCCCGTAAGCCCCCTCCCCCATCAGTACGTCAGTGCCCCCCCCCCGATCTACACCTTGTTGGTGGGGAAAATCGCAACTGATCCCCCCTACCTTTTTTCTTTTTCTTTTTTTCTTTTCCTTTCTCTCCTCTTTTCCTTTCCCTTCCCTTCCTTCTCTCTGTTTTAAGCTTGATGGGGAGAGGCAAAGGCCTTTCGCCTCCCCCCCCCCCTCCGATCCACACGTTTTTGGCGGGATTAATCGCAACTGTTCCCCCTTCTGTTCACCCTTTTATTTTCTTCTTCCTGTTTGTGTTCCCTTTTAGCTCTCCTCTTTCCCTTTCCCTCCCCCCCCTTTTTTGGGGTGGGGTGGAGGGGGGGGGGTGGGAGGCAAGGACAAATTGTTGGCGGGAAAATTACAACTGATATACCCCTTCTTTTCTTTTCTTCTTCCTCTTTTTTCCTTCCCTTTATATCCTATTTTCCTTTTTTCTTTCCATTTCCATTCTTCCTTCTCTCTTATTTGTTGACGGGGGGGGGGGGGGGGTAGGTATAACAGCTGGGAGGCAAGGCCCTTTAGGCCCCCCCCCCTATCTTCCTTTTTTTTCCCCTTTTTTCCCTCTACTTTCTTTCCCTTTCTCTCCTCTTTCCCTTTTCCATCTCTCTTTCTCTTTTTTTTTCCTTTTGCAGGGGGGGGGGGGGGGTTGGCGCCGGAAGTGGGGGGGGGGGGGGGGGCAGGGGGGAGCAGTTGCCCCCCAAACAAAAAAGTGGGGGGGGGGCAAAACGCATTTTTGCCCCCCAAAAAAACGCCCCCCCCCCCCCTCCAAAAAAAGAAAAAAAAGCAGTAAAGAAGTAAAGATGGTTTAACCAAAAGAACACAACACTAATAAAAACCTGAATTAAATCACATATACAATTCCATTCGCATGCCACCTATATTTATCAATGGAGGTTTTTATAATAGCAATACGCGCATATCGTGGACATTAATGAGAGAATGGGAAAGCGTGTCTGCTTTTTGTTATGGGGGTGAGAAGACATGAGCCCTGAACGCTGGCGTACTGATGGGGGGGGGGGGGGGTATTTCTTATTCGATACCAGTAATTTACAAAATCATACCTTTTTAAGCGTTTGTTGGAAAATTAGAAATTCCCAAATTTACAGTCGGGCGAAAAATATGCTTTTTTAGAAGCCTTTATGTTATGATCTGCAAAACGGCTGGGCTCGAGGGCTCGAGCCCCCCCCCCCTCACTTTTTGAAAAATTATGCCCAGAGAAAAAGAAAGAAAGAGAGAGAGAAAAAATAAGTGACCTGCCAATGTCACAGATGAGGTATCAAAATATGCCCATCTGACCGTAATTAAATGCCTAAAACCCCAGAGCTTACGGGGGCTCCACCCCGAACCCCGCTAAGGGCCCTAAGGCGGCCCCTGGATGCTCATCTGACCGTAATTACCTAAAACCCCCGAGCTTCCGGGGGCTCTGCCACCTGGACCCCACCAAGGGCCCTAAGGCGGGCCCCAGGATGCTCATCTGACCGTAATTAAATACCTAAAACCCCTGAGCTTCCGGGGGTCTGTTCCTGGCCCACATCAACGGCCTTAAAGAGGGCCCCTGGATGCTCATCTGACCGTAATTAATACCTAAAACCCCGAGCTTCTGGGGGCTCTGCCCCCTGGACCCGACCAAGGGCTCTAAGGCGGGCCCCTGGATGCTCATCTGACCGTAATTAAATACCTAAACCCCTGAGCTTCTGGGGGGCTCTGCCCCCTGGACTCCATCAAGGGCCCGAAGGTGGCCCCTCTCCGTAGTTAATTATCAAAAAACCCTGAGCTTCCGGGGGATCTGCTCCCTGGACTCTCCGCCAATTAGTGACCTGCCAGTGTCACAAATGAGGTATCTAAATATGTTTATCTGACCGTAATTGAATGCCTAAAAACCCTGAGCTTCTAGGGGCTCTGCCCCTTGACCCCCTGCTGAGGCTCAGGCCCTGCATGGACACCACGCCAATTTACGCTCTACCTGATCGTTAATACTCCACTTTGAAAAACGTTCCTCGGGTCCTGCATGTAACGTGTAAGAGTGGTGGTGATGCAGATTTTTCTTCTACCCCCACCCCCTTCCAAACGTTTTTGCTCATTACGTCACTGCCCCTGGAAGGTAAGCCCCCTGGAGTGTTTGCCCTCAATCCCAAACTGCTTCCGGCGCGCCTGGGGGGGGGGGGGGGGGGCAAGGCCCGCGCCTGGTTTAAAGGTTTGTGTAGAAGTCACCATCATTGTAATCTTCTAGAACCGCGCCTGAGCATAACCTCATGATATAAGGGAGAACATGGTTCCTATATTTTAGGCCTTAATATTTTAAACAACATGATGTAAACCAGTAGATGACTTAAATGAAATAAGTACGATAAGGTTGTTGTAGTTGTATAAGTACGATAAGGTTGTTGTAGTTGTATAAGTACGATAAGGTTGTTGGTGTTGTAATATAGCACGTTGTTGACCCATGGCCCAGTTACGGGCTGCTTTCGGCTTTTACAACGGCACATTTTTTTTTAGATTGTTGGTGTTTTAACAGGTAAGTTGACATTTAGGGGTGTATTTAACGGGGACCGGGGATGTGATTTTTCTGGAAGGAGATATATAAAAAAGATTGACGACAAGAACAAAAATTACTGTATATAATTTTATAGCATATTTTTCGTCACCTTACCCCCTACGTACCCTTCTTTCATGGCAGGTTTGAACTGTTTTGGAGATATCCTGCAGAATACATCTGCCTGTAGCTCACAAGGGGCGCTATAATGGCGTTCTACATCTATCGGATCACACTCAAGTTAGTCACAAAAATAAGGCTTGTCCTCAAAATGGTTTTCCTAGTCCCCAGTGCCCACCCCAGGCCCTACCAGTATAAAGTTTACTCTGAGTATTCAAAGAGTGTAGTGTCCAAAACAAGGACATCAACAACAATAACAAAGCTATTTTTGAAAATCGATGAATCGAATTAGAAAGAGAAGGAAAAGATGTAAGCGCGGGCCCACCACTTAACTCATAACAGTAATGTTTTTTTAAATGATAAAACTATAAAACGGTGAGTCAATTAATGCCGGGGGGGGGGCGTTATTTTTTTCTGCGGCACAGATTGGGGTTAGGTGCGTGTTGAGCCTATGGGAAAGTTTAGGGTTAGGGTTAGGGTTAAATTAAGACCTCTTCTTAAAAAAAGTCCTAATCTGTGCCGCAGAAGAGAAATGACGCTGCCGGGGGGGGGGGGGGGTGGGATACTTTATAAATTGCCGAAAACTTAGGAAGTATAAACGGTGAAAAAATATTCTTTCAAACATTCATTCATATACTTTGGGTTCTAATATATTATGATTAAAAAACATTTTATTACAGGATTTTGTCCAAAACAAAATGTATCGTGTCTGACCACCCCCGGCCCCCACTCCATGAACGAAGAGATACCATGCGTGTTCCCAAATGTCCGATAAAGGGGTACTTTTCACGCACCAAAGTCCGGCTCGTATAGTACACAAAAATACGGCCCGTATTGACTTTACACCAGGCGCGGATCCAGGATTTCTTAGGGGAGGGGGCCAAAACTTTTTTTTTTTTTTCTGCTCCCGAATATTTGAAAATCGCGCCGGCCGAAAAGTCGCTCAGTGGGTGGGTGGGG